GGTAGTTCTCGGCTTGCCACCTGCTTTCACGCTGGTATATTGTCGCTCTGCTTAATCGAACCTGAATATGGAGGCGATATTTTCCTCCGAAACTTCTGTTTCAAGGGACTACACGCATTATAGCCCAGGAGATGAGAACCTCAAACACTACTTCCTTACTTTTTTTTTTTTTGTTTTTATTAGAAACCTTAAATATTCAAGTTCCAACTTCAGTTCTTGAAATTCTGCAACCAAGAAAGAAATATAATTTTATTTTCATTGAGATCAGATTTAAAATAAAGTACAGTATTTATAATTTTTTTAATTGTCTATAAACTTCACTAAAATATAATTGGAATATAATATCCAACTAAATTTAAAGTAATCACATGTGTTGTCTCATGCTCTAATAGTGGTGCTCTCATGAAATTTGCTCTTGAAAACTGGCTACGGTTCCCTCGCCATCAAAATATACTCTTCCGGCATGGGAGATAGATTTTTGTCTCTATTCCACACCGCCCAGGCCGGACCTAGGGCCCACCCAGCATCCTACACATTGGGTACTCTTTCCTCGGGGTAAAGCGACAAGGGCGTGAAGCTAACAATTCACGTTCATCTACTGGTGAAGTCAAGAATCATGGAGCTATACCTCCACTTCTCCAGACGTCTTCATTGCACATTGTGGCCTCTGTCACACAGTAACACAGCCACAGCAGGCGAGAATTCTTCTGACAACAAATTTCTGAATTCCTGCGAAATATTAGGTCATGGGCAACCTATGGATGTCTATCAGGTCCACTGGCTTTGGATACAAAGTCCGAAACGTTGACTTGATTACAAGTACTGTGGAATGGTCAGGGAAACCAACGTCACAGGCAGAAACTCCCTAGAAGTAAGTCTATCTCGCAAAGAATATAGAAACAATTTGTAACATACCAACCAAGATACATGTTAAAGTAAACTTGTCTCTGCCATGAAGACATACTGGAGAGTGTAGCTGTAGCTTCATCCTTCTTTACCTCGGCCCTAGATAGAAGTGAGTGGTCAGCTTCACGCCCCAGTTCCTTTATCCAAGGGGAAAGAGCCCCCGGTACCCTTTGGATAGGAGGCTGGGAGGGTTCCAGAGCCTATCTGGACACTATGGAGTAGATAAAAATCTCTTATTCCTGTCGGGAATCGAACCCCTGAAGTTCAGTTCGATAATATACAAAGCTGTTAATTAAATCCACCTTATAACTTGGTTTTCTTATTCACATCATGTATTATCATATATTTGCCTGAACACCTGAACTTTCTCAGCTGACACTTAGTAAACCCCCGCTAATCCTGATTAATTGGGGGGAGGGGGAGATATTATACCAATTAATAGATAATACGGCCTAATGAGGCGAAAGATAGCCCTAAAAGACATAAAATAAATTTGGAAAACAAAGAAAATTTAATAATATAGGTAGTACTGATGAAAATAAATGAAGAAACATCACTGCAGCAATTTCTTCCTCTTGTCAGAAGCTTAAATCCAGGGTCTCTTTCATTCAGCTGAAGCCAGTCTTGGAAAATTTCTTGCAAGGTTTCAGTCTCTCCACCTGCCCTGAACACAGTCTGAAAATCCTCTTGCTCCCAAATCCCACGTATCTTTTTAAAGTACGTACCCAACTGTGAACAGAATTTTTCATATTTCTTATTTCTATCGGGATTATCGGACATCCGGATTAACTGTAACCGGCTTAGCGAGAGTTTACTGTATTACCATACCCTGTTATGTCACATTGCAGATCCATGTGAATACCAATTCGGAGTGCATACAAAACCCCTGAAGATACAGCTCGCAAACTGTGTTACTTTCGAGCAACTTTGCCGGATATATAAGACAAACTTCTGCAAAGCGGAGTGATTCCGTTATGCAGAAAATCCTCTCTCTGAAATTACAGCATCTGTAGACGTGAAAATTAGTCATCTGCTTCAAGCAGCAAATCTGGTTACCGCGATGAACCTCTGCGTCCCAACTTGTGCATTGGCCTGGTCTCTGTGTTGACAATCCAATTTAATGGAGAGTCCGCGATCTGCATTGTAGACTAACGCATATTTCGACAAGTCAGTAAATTATCTGTGTGTCGCGTGCCGAACAGATATGTTTGTAAGAAACAGTCTATAAGAATCGAAACAGATTCTTATGATTGCTCTATTGATTGTACTCCTTAGATAGTTCACGATCACACTACACAGACATTTATTCCATGACTCAGCATCTGTTGTCGTTACTGAACGAACCGTCACAGAACCCTTTAAAGCCCAGTGATTAATATACTGTTACGTGTATGAGTGACTACAGACTGGTTTTGGATTGGTAATTAGATTTGTTGAACCCTTACAGACCGTAACTACACGTAACTATAGCGCTATCTCTAATTCACACATTGCAGTTCACTAGAGCACGCACCAAGTCTTCTCAGTCTGCTGTGTCTTCACCAGTGGAAGTTACCCTGCTCCCGGGCTCACGTCCTCGCAGGCTGGCGTCCATATCACACCAGCATCTTACTCTTCTAACTGCCATCTCAAGCCTCTCCCGTAATCGCAGATGCTTTTCGATGTATAACCTCAGCAAGGATCGCACAGAAAACACCTTTCATAACAGTTCTTCCATTATTGCAGCTTTTAGCTATCGCACGGACAGCGTAGAGAACACCACTTCCCAGCTTCTCGATTGTTGCGCGTTACGAATCTGTTACGATCATTACCTAGCAACGACTGTTGTGTAGCTGCTTATTTAATTGTCGTTGCCCAACAACGGGTCTAAATACCACAATATATATTACCTGCTTTAACACATCAAAACTCTGCATTCTGCCCTCACAGTGCATCTGTGTGTTCCGTAAGGCTTTCACAATAAGCAGCGACTGTTTCATTAAACAGCATTAAACGGTTGGGCTTTGTGGCGGTGACGTAGTTTGTATCCTATGAGGTGCGGACTGAATTTGTAATCTTGTTGAAATCACATGTTTTTCTGTGTGTCTGCATATAACTTTTCATTGCCTGAACCACTTCAAAAATAGTTAACGTTCGAATCACTTAACATATTAACCGAGTCTACTACGAGTATATGAGCGAATGCATTTAAGAGTAGATTCGTGACTTGGAACACTAGAACAGCAGTAATTCTCTGGATTTTTATTTGAGAGACATTCGTAATATTATATTTAAGCGCCATATTTATGAACTATTTATTATATTGTAACGGATTTGAACAACGGTTGCCAGGCAACAGATCTTCAAACACGCTCCAACAATAGAGGAAGATGTGATTTCCGTATCGGCGGTCACGTCACACAATAAATAGAGACAACGTGAGGTGTTTTATGTAGATCCGACCAACGTATCAAGAGACTTGCTGGGTAGCAATCACGTGACATGTGTTTCTTGTGATGCATGTCCGTTCCTTGGCTGTATAAGTGACAGAATTCGTTTGGTTTAGGAGCAGTTACGAATCAGTCGTAAGCTGGAGGAAGGAGTCCAGAAGAATTTTTGGTTCCGAGGTTCCAGACTGATGGAAGACGAAATAGCAAGAAGACGTCAGAGTGATTTGAAGTGCTAGTTTCTGTGTTGAGGTCCATTGCTAGGAGAAGACTAGTGGAAACTGAGAATCGTAATGCGTGTGCAACGGTGAATTGTAAATTGTGTGAATCAGCGATAGCGCCATATTAATTGTAATTAAGAAAATTTTGTAACTAAAGTGCTAATAAAGATTTACATGGCGACACGTCTCAGAAAACGGCATTCTTCACTTACATCAGTGTGACATGTTATACAGCCGTTACTTAGCAGTTGATATTTCTCTGGATCCACAGTTCTTGCTTTGAGCAAATATGCCACAGTACCTTAGCAAGAGCTAGATAACTGATCTACCGACAGACTTAACGAGTTACTAACCACCGTCATTCCTGGCTCATTGTCTTTGTCGCAAGTTCGTTTCAACACTACTTAATTATGAAGATGTCGCTTTGTGGGTAACAAAACTAAAACTTTATCGATTTAATTGGAAATTCTAGTCCTTGCAGAAGAGGCTGTCGCCCTTCTCCAAGCTTTAAATTCACCGGATTAAATTCCACAGCCGAGCAGACTCTTCCAGCAAAATAATGAGACGCTATCTTGGATCAGCGTCTTTGACGCCTGCACTTATAACCCGCTATCATCACCCGATGGATCAGTAACTCCTCCCAGCAGCGCCGAAGCAAAATGTTGTGACGTCATGCAATACAAAGCAAAGAAACGGAATCTGTATTGTGAGCCTAAAAAATACGTCTTATTGGACTTTCCACAGCATAGTTCTACGTCCGGCTTTGTACTTCAGGCGGAAGCGTAGTTCATTTAGGCACTATGCTACAACACGGGAGGTCGCGGGATCGATTCCCGACGAAGTCATTAAATTTTTCAATGTACCTAATCCTTCCAGCCGCACTATGGTCAAGGGGTCTACTCAACCTCTACCAGGAATCTTCCTGAGGGGGTAAAGAGCGGCCAGAGCCTAAGGCTGACAACCTCACCGCCATCTGTGAGCCGATTGTCTAGGAATTGTTGGAACCTCGATGTCTCACAACCCTATGGGCCTCCACGGCTACCTTCTTAGTAGTTCAATTCAGTTAAGAGTTCCAGTTGTGAGACGTGACAAACTGGTAGCTGAGGCTGGGGACGGGATCCCAGAGTAAGGGGAACGTCAGCCGTTAGAAGCCGTTGCCAAGCAACAGCTAGTAAAAACTTAGAAGACTTTATGTGTGATGTAGTTACAGTGAACTCTGGAGTATGTAACACAGTGAGAGACTCGTAGTTATTTGTAGTAACGATCCGTAAATGTTCAATAAATCCAGTTATAAATCAAAGCATCATCTCCAGTCACAGTTACCACGTTATAATATTAAGGTAAATTAAATTCAGAGTAAAAATAGGGTGTAGTGTCTGCATCCAATGTGTCCATTCAACGTGAAGTTGAAGTACCCAAATTACAGATGGTGTTTTGTTTGTTTCAGATTCCTGTCAGTGAGAGATGCATTGTGGGTAAGTAAAGGTTACATACGTCGTCATAAGAGCCCTGCAGACGCTTCTTTTTGAAGTTTTCTCTTCTTAACTTACTTTTTAAATTTATCTCGTGTTTGAAACGTAAAAGCTAGAGGATATTTTTCTTCCTTTGCATACACCACAATGGATCGCAGTAAATTATTGCGTGACATAGAAATTTCTGATTTTCCCCCCCCTAAAGTCTTGTATTATATTTCAGAATTATTAAAAATATACCACAACTAATGATGTATAGATTTTTTCGTGATATTTGGTAGAGGAAACTTAGGTAAGACTCAAACAACCTTCCGATAATGCGTCGGTCTCTCCTCGTATCCCATTTGTGGAAAAAACCGAAGCAATAAAATTTTGCTCTTAGCAAAAAAAAAAACGGATAAATTTAATTTTGTTGTTACATAAAAGGATTGGATTCCACTTCAGATTGTGTCCCCAACATTTCCTCCACAAGGGAAATACTGCGGTTGTAACGAAAGTGGATACATAAGCGTCGAATGTTTTACAGTAACCACTAGTGTAAACACTTTTCGTTACCATGGTTACTGTAAAACCTTTGAAGGTTAAGTACCCCATGCTGTCATTGCTGCAATGATTTCTTTGTGCGTGAAATAATGGGGAAAGCAGTTGACTTTGTCACGTTCCTCTGCGTGGAAAAACAAAATTAATTACACTCTCGGGCTTACCTCTCCTAAAGAAACTTTTTTTATCTTTACCTTTCCTATTCCATGACTCGCAGTTTAGGGTAAAGCGTGGAGGACGGACAGGCCTTTGGCGATTATATGGAGAGACTCCTCCTTACGTGCCACATTTCTGTACATCAGAATAAGTACGAATTTGATGTTTTCAGGGTTTTCAGTGACTGTAGACGGGGTTTGCTCATACACTCACGAATCTTGATTACATTTAATTATAGCGTCATTACTAATCTCTACGCTTTAAAAATCGTTAGAGCACACTCTAAATATTTTGAGTTCGTCTTCAGTAGTCTTCGCATTGTAACGGCTTCTAACAATGCAGATTATTCAGCTTCCGCGCTCACGCAATTGCAGGCTGGCCACTGTCTCACAACTGAACTAAGCAGGCAGAGTCAGGGTCAGAATTGCTTTACGACTGGCGTTTACCGTCAATCAGTTCGTCTTGGCTTCAAACCCCTTGAGACTCACAACCAGTATTTATTTTAAACTGAACATTTGCGGTCATAGTCCTTATATAACATCCTCTTTGAAGAGAGGATGGGTCTGTCGTTTACAACTGCTCCTGGCTCTTGTCAGCGCAGTCATTATCCGGTCCGAGCCCCTCGGGACTAACGGCTATATCTTACTATCTCAGATTCGAGATTCCTCCAACCTGGAGGGCTAGGTCCCCGTATTTATATCCCCCAGGGACAGGGTGGCCCGGTTATACTCCCAGGCACTGGGTTCCATTTTTGTCGCCTACAACTCGCAGGCTACGGTGGAGGTATTCGAAGCCGCCTCCACACGGGGAACTGAACTAAAGACTAAAACTGTCGAACTGACAACCCTTCAGTACGGACCGCATAGAAAATACAGCTCTTCTATTGTTTTAGAAGCGTGTTTACGGCGTTGTTGCGTGGAAACGGCAGCGGGGTGGACCACAGAAATCACCGTTTCCAACAGTTCCTTTGTCGTTGCATGTTTACTCGTTGCAGCGGGAACGTGTCTACCGATCAGATGCGTAGAAACGGCTCTACATCCTACAATATAGTACGAGATATCACATAACTTCCCAAGGAAAATTATCAGGTTTGTTTCCTTCAAATTGCTTCATAATTCGCCATTCATCATGCTTGTTACCACTGGACACCATATGGGGCCTAGCTTAGCTACTGAAAGCGTCATAAATTAACCTAAAGGTAAATATATGACAATTTAAATGTATATGTGCCTCTCTTGTACTTAATTAAGTGATCAAATTGCCCCATCCTCTCTGAAGGCAACATAGGACATGTTCAACTCAGTGATTCATAAGCGGTTGAAGGCAGTCCCGAAACGTACTAAAGACCATTAGTCACACTGTACAAATATAGACATTAATACGGCTCTTAAAATCCAACTGTACACTTATCTGTTCCCATAACAACTACATTGATCGCGCATAGCGCCACTTCAGTGCTTACGGTATAACACGCAAGCTCACTCAATATTAATGCATTATGCAGTAAGCGACGACATCGTGACTGCCCTCTGTCGAGGATGAGAAGAACTGCATAAATAAAATGCGATATGACTGATCAAACGATAATAGTAGAAGCCACGTCCATTTTTTTGTAACCATTCGCAGTCACTACACAAAATGGAGCCTATAATTAATTAATTATAAATTTCTGGGCTGGAGAAGCACCTATAAAATGAATCTGTGTCAAAGTTTAACGATATACCTTAACGATTAACGTGATACGTCGTAAATAAGATCTAAAATAGTGTTATCTTCCGGGATATAACGCCATGTATTCCGTTGAAATTCAACAGACGTTTCGAAGGAAAATATCGCCTCTATCTTCACGGCCGAAGAATAAGTCGAGCGAAATACCAGGGTGAAAACGGGCGGCAAGCATAGCAATCGGATACCAGAATTTCGGATAATATGGTAAGTACGAGGTTAATGCAATAGTGAACCACAGCTCCAATTGGTTCGTCCGTGGAACAAAATGGAACCGTTTTAAAAGTTTGCGACGATGGTGTATTAATGAAATTGTTGACATCTTGGACATTATATATACACATCGTCCTGCTTTTATTGTTTAAATATATGACGACGGATATTGTCGAAAAAGCCAACAATTGTAACGCATCTTATCTTATATCCAGATGTATCTGAGAAAAGGAAAATTATCTCACAAATATGGCGCATTAACTTTTTAAAACATGAAATAAACCTTTAATTTCAATTTGTATCAGCTTCCTTCTTCGGGATTTGCGGATTCTGTCCTCTGGCATGTTCAATTCATAATTAATTTCTGGAATTATGAAACTTTTAATATTACACGTATTTTGTGACTCCATTTACTGGAGATTAGCCCCTTCCAAGGCCACCTAAAACGCATAACACAAATATATATACAAAAAAACTCGGATATAAATGTATAGCTCAAGTGGGTTCGAAGCCACGACCCCTTTCTTACAAGCGGCCAAAGATATTACATGCCTTCGACCGTACGGCCCATTAGTCCCTCGTTGTTGTAAATAGGTTACAGTTTACCGCTGTAAGTCCGAAAGGACAGGAAATATATTCATACTGTAACAATTACAGCGAGTTCCCTCGGGTGTTTCCTGCATATTTGCAGTTCGTCAATCCAGACTTCTGATACACGGAATTACTGGGTTTTTGGAATTTTCCTATCATCCGGTATTCTAGAGAATATAAAACACGACGTTTCAGAAACCAGGTCTGTTTCCGTCCTCAGTAAAAGGGCGAGAGGACACCTACACAGTTGGGCCCCTTAGAAAAAGTTAATCCCAATATTTCTAAGGGGCCCAACTGTGTAGGTGTCTTCTCCTCCACCTGAGGACGGAAACAGATCCACTTTCCGAAACGCTGTGTATTCGTTAGAACCCTTTAGAATGTACTTCTAGCTTTTGATGTCTTCGTTTGAAGGCGCGTCCACATTAATCGTGCTCGTGCTCGCCAGGCTTGTGCTAGTAAATCTTCGTCCACACTACTTCAGTTGCTCGCCAGGCTTCGGCGCTTGAGAATCCGTATATTTACTGGTAGTATAGGTATAGGCTCTATAGGCTGTAGTCGTATTTTAATTTATTGGCTATAGCTTTAAATTAAAAATTTAAAATTTGTCTCGTTACTTGTCATATCGTCCACATTACTCGCGAGCATAGCGAGTCACACGAGCACGAGCACGAGTAATGTGGACGCGCCTTATGTAGCATATTACTCATGATGAACCCCAAACAACTACGTAGTAATAGATGTACAGGGTGCCCGGATGAAAAGTATCCAAAATAAAATCATTATATCTCAGAAAACTGTTATTATACACATTAATTGGTTACACCATTACAATGAGAAACTATCAAAGTTTCTTTCTGCATATATACTTTCTCAATAAACTGAAATGTGGGCTCCCTTGGTGGCATGACAAATATCCAAGCTTGAAATATATTTGGTGTTACCGTAGCCACAGCGTCCCTTACGCGGGCTTTCAGGTGTTGAAGGTCGTTAATCTTAACCTTGTAAACAATGTTCTTCATATAACCCCTCAAAAAAAATCCGCTGTGGCGACCTAGGAGGCCAAGCGATTGGTTCATTTCTGCCGATCTATCTCCTAGCCAGCTCTCTGTCCAGGTGATTCCTAACATGGTGGCAGAAATGTGGCGGCGCATGCGCGTAAGCCGGGTATAAAAAGAACTTTCAGAGTTTCCTTTACGATGAGTCGAGTCTTCGGAATTGGTAGTTGCAGAAATTAGGCTGTGGAAAGAAGACTTCATGTGTGATTTGATGTGCCAGTGAAACTGTGATAAACCGTTGTCAGGATATGACTAGTGAAGACTGAGAATCCTAGTGTGTGTGGAACGGTGAACTGGAAACTGTAGAATAGCGATAGCGCTGTATTGCCTGTAGTCCCGAACGGAGTAAATATAAGTGTCATTAAATCCAATCATCCAATCCGAAACCCCGTTTTATAAGTCATGCATAACCCATATACGGTCCGATATATATATATATATATTATCACGTGATTGAGTGTCTATAAACGGGGTTTGAATTGGCAATCGGATTTATTGGACACTTCAACACCAACTCGTGACTAAGAGGCAGTGCAACGTGGGACTCTGCTCTCTCGGGTGCTTCAAGGAATGTTGCAAACGCGAGATTCAGTTACATGACGCGGGGGTTGAAGCCTGTATATACGTCGAGCAGATAACGAAATAAAAATGTATGTATATTGAATTTTAATCTATTCAAAAAACATTATAGGATTGTGCATTTGCGGAGGCTGCGCGCGCTTCCAATAGAGGAGTTTAAATGTCCGGCTGGCCAAATCGGGCTACTTTGGCCACGACGACCATACTCATCACTGGCACAAACGGGGCACTTCGGCACTTAAAGGTTAATTACATTTGTTCTCCGGCAGAAGTTTATCACAACTTCTGAATGTCGCACAAGAAAGAAGAGAATGAATAAAACTGATAAAAGGACGAAACATATGACAACGACAGCCGTGATGGTCGCATTTTCATCGAAACTTGTTGAGGCGGTCACATGCACCTGCGTGTCATTCTGAGCTTCAACGCTTGGTGACTCTGTTGCTTCAGCGGTCCATGGTCTGCACAGTGATTTACCGCCATTTAAATCCACCATGTTACTTTGGCTACAGTTTGAGGAGGGTGCAGTGGTCACTTCGGCAGTTTTGGTGCTCTTGCCTTGACCATAGGGAGCCTCAGAATTGGTCTTCAGGTAAAACTTTCCTCTCGCACTGTAAGATTAAAATTCCGTTCCAAAAACACAAATAACGTAAGATTTGAGGTTATGAAGACTTCTGATTTCTGGGATATAACACCGTGTGGTCCGTTGAAAATTAACCGGTGTTTCGGAGCAATATCCTGACCATAAAATGGAGGCTGCATTCTGCTCCGAAACGTCGGTTGACTTTCAGCAGACTACACGACGTTATATGTCACAAGACAGAGCTCTTCACAAGTAATGTGTTACGTTCTAGGGTCAAACAGGTTGTAAGGATCCTGGATATGGATAAAGTTCCCTATCAGACCTCGAAACGGGAATGAAATCCGAAACTCCCTAAACGTCCTTAAGTAATTCTTTTGTACAGTAAAGGAAAACGTTGTAGGCTTCAGGTATATAAGTAGATTCTGTGGTGTATAACACTCAGAGTTACCGAAGTTTTTTAGTTTGTCCGTCGTCCGGTATTCTAAAGAACACGACGTTTCGGAAACTGTATCTCTTTCCTTCCTTATATGAGGGTTGGGAGACACTCTGTTGAGTCCGTTAGAAAAAAACTAACCTCAGCCACTGAAACCTCTTTCTAACAAACACAACAGAGCATGTGTCTCCCGTCCCTCCTCTGAGGAAGGAAAAAGTTAGTTTCCGAAACGTCGTGTTGTTTAGAATACCAGACGATATATAAAGTCCAAAAACCCATTAATCTATACTGAGGTTCATAACTGTCATTATGCAATTTATATCACTCTAATTATGTCAATAATAAATTAAGTTACACAGACTTACACACTGTTACACATCTGGGGTGTAACTCCTTGTAGCCCGTTGAAAAGTCAACCGCCGTTTCGGAGAAACATATCTCCATCTTCATATTTGAATATTGAACTAAGTAAGAAACCAGCATAAAGTACTGTTATTATGAAAGAAAAGATGATCGATCTAAAAATTTTGATGTATTTACAAGTCTTTAACCTCCCTGAGTGTGAAAAAATGTTTATTAGAATGACGAGTTACGTATCGCTATGATAGACTCGGAATTATAGTTTCACATTAGGGATGATAACATTAATAAACATGTCCATGATTTATTCCAGCCGTCTTACAGTGCATACACTCATCCACTTCACTCTTCACTCCTGCACCACACGAAAATAGGAAAAGTGCTCCGATAGAAGAGGATAGATGCGACTCGCGTATTGAGATGCGACGTAGGGATAAAAAATCCTGAACAGTTTTAATATTTATCAATATATATGATGAACATACAGGGCATGATTGATAGACTAATTGAAATTGGAAGGTGCTATGGCATGGAAATGAATGTGGAGAAAACAAAAGTAATGAAAATTTCG